AAGTTTACTTCCAATCGATGAGATCAGAAATAAGAAAATAAAAAAATCAAGAAATATAGCAGTTTCGATCAATCATTAGAATAAAGTCACTATCTCTGCGAAGTAATAATAAATATATAAACAACGGCGACAAAAGTGAGGCTAACAACTATTGGTCACAAGATGCACGGTTTAAAATGGTGAAAGCAGGGAAAAGAGAGAGGAAAAGAGCGAATGAAGAATATAGAAAGGGGAACGCTCGTGAAACACACACAGGTAAAACCGCAAAAACACGATCCACGAGAGCGTAGCCCACGGTGAATGCTTATATAGTAATCAATATACACGAGCCTAACCAGCCGGCCACCCCGTCGTCGTCTGGACCGCCGCCGCCATCCTCAGCCCATCGGGAAATCATCCCTTAGGCCTCAAACTCCAGTCGTCCATCCCGTTCACCCTCTGGAAATCTCCCCCTTCTCCCCTCCTTCCGATCTCACCGTCCAGCACGGCGCGGTCTCGCCATCTCCTCATTCGCCGCCTCCTCCTCCTCTTCCTCTGAACACGTAAATTGCTCCTCCAGCCGTACTCGCCCCTCGGCGATTGATACGCGGAGCTTAAATTATAGACGCCCCTGATCCCCGACGCGCCTCAGGCGAGCACTGGGCATGGGATTTGCGGTGGGTTTCCGGGCGAATCATGCGAACCGTTCAAGCCGAGCCGCCAAAATTCGCTGCTATACCAAGGAGGATCATTCTTCTGTTATTTGCTGGGGAAGAGAGTTAAGCCGCGGATGAGTGTTACACGACACGATAGGGCTGTTAATTATTGTGTAACGAATTGCCAGGCGCGAGGAGTGCTCGCATCCGCGGGATCAGTTAGAAAATTATTACAACCCGGTTAGAGAAGATATATTTTGTCCTGTCATATGATCATTGATTAAAATTTTTATAACAGAAGAGGTTATATGTTTTAAAAGAGCGGGAAATTTACGTTTGATAAATTGGCGGAAGATTTTTACAATGCGAACAAAACAACTGTAACGATTGCAAATAACGCGAGAAAATTTAATTACAAAACTTAATTTCCACGTACATTTCTGACACGGTAATAATACGCGGTAAAAGTCGAAAGGGGATTATTTCGAAAATGCAACGACAATATTTCACGGATCTTTCGATTTGCAAATTAGCTTTTCGAAAACATCGACGCGCTGAATTTCGACGAGAGGCCGAAATTATTTTCATACATTGAAATCGGTACACGTGGTAATCAATTTTTGCTTTAAACGTTCCGCCCGGACGCATTTTCAATCAATACAGATATCACCAATACGGATCGCTGCGGATATCGCCAATCGAGCGCGTCGCGCGCGTTTAATTCGAGCACGTATAATAAATTACTCTTTACGACCGTGCGCGATCGAATCGTCGTGTTTCCCCGATTATCCTGGCGACATATAATATGTAACGCGCTGTATTAATATTAATGTATTAATTTAAACAGAAGCATGATTCGTCGGTAATTCCCGAGTCAGCGATCAAAATTGAAATCGTTACCGGAAACGCAAATAAGAAACAACATCACCTCGATTACTGAATTATCTTCTATATGTTCAGAGAGATTTATATTTTGTTCTACACATGCACGGAAAAATTACATATCAAGTAATTAACATATAAAATATAAACAAATTGATGCAAATAGAATATACACTTACATGGATTGTAAGTAATTGTTTTTTTCGGTTTAGTTACAATATTGCGAAACGACATCAGAAGTGACATCAGCGAATACTTTAAAATCAGAAATTTCTTCTTTTCTCTCGAGTTCCGATAGCGATGAGCGTCGTGCAGTTCGTCACGTTGGTCGTTTCACGTGTGTGTACGTAACGTTACGGTCCTCACATCAAACGTGAGCTTCGGTCCTGACATCCGTGGGAATCGGATGGCTGCATCCGGCTTTCGTGTCGCGAGGGAACCCCGAGGACAGCAACGACGGGAATCGTGTAGATTACGAAACACGTTCCGTCCACTTCGCCTATCGTCTTCTGTCGTGAGCTGCAGACACAACTTTGCCACTTGCAAACTCGCTCAAGTGTGAGTATCCGTTATATAATCCCGTGAACGCTCGCAGTGTCGCCTGATGCCTTCGATGTTCGCGCGGCCTTTTGCTCCTAACACGAGTTGAATCATTTATTTGTCCCAATCACAAAATCTCTTTTTTTACGACAAATAATTTTCTTCACGAAAAAAACTGTGCATAGAGAGAGAGTAAAAAAATTGAATTCTATGCGTTCAATTTTCAGTTTTTCGCGTGAAATCATCTCGTTGTATTGCGATTTTTTCCACATTACTTGAACATAATTTACACGATGAAAAGTTCTCGTGATTACCGCAGTAGTCGAGAAATTAAAAAAAAAAAATGCAACGCGGAGCATCGAGTGGTTATTCATTGCGGAATTAAAGTTTCCAAACTGGGATTCGTCAGCACATAATGAAACGAATGATATGTATACATACATATGCGTATACAGTCCATTTCCGACGTTAAACTATTCCGAATTGCATCGGATAGAACAGTGTTTCGCAAGTTGGACCGCGCAATATGCCGCGAGAAACCCAGATTCGTAACTTCCAAACGCGGTGTCATTGAAACGTCGCTTATCGTGCCACCTGTGAGAGCGGCAGCTCTCACGGATACATGAAACGAGGGGTGATAACCTCATAGACTCTTGACTACAAACGAGCTTTGTGGTTGTGAAAGTTCTCCCATCGCCTATTACGATGATGACTGACGACGTGGTGCGCGCGGCGCGCGGTCTTTCTTCGGACGTTTTCACGTGCCTGAAGAGACACGTTGACGACATCGTTGTCGTCGTGTTACTTCGCGAAAGATAGCGGAGCTTCCTTTGTTGTACTTATCGAGCCGCGCCGCTGTGCTTCTTCGCCGTCTTGACAAGAAAAGATCAGAAAATATCACCGCCGGTGTCATCGATCCTCTTTCTTTCTTTTTCTTTCGCTATTACGCGCGCCGAGCTATTGAACTTTCGGTATCTTCTCACTGTCTTCCTAATGCACGTGTATGGAAATATCAAACTTTGATTCGTACACCCGCGGCAAACTTGAAGAGACTGTGTTGCGGAGATCGAGATCTCGATGTGTCCCGAGACTTTTTTTCGAGAGAGCGCGAGAACTCTTGAAAAAATCTCTCGTTATAAGTTTCTCGGGAAATAGTTGCGCTGTCATTAAATTTTTCAAACGTATACAAATATCATCTTGGATACACAAAACATACATAAATGCCATAATAATATAAATAAATGACGTGCCGGAAATTAGAAAGTATATAGTGCAACATTATGCACAATTTTAACACAAAACATTATACTTACTATTATTATAAGTACTGTATAATTTTCAGCATACTAAAATGGCCTGTAACAATTTTCCAACGTATCAAATTATAATTATTAGACCAAATAATGCATTTATGTCAGGCTCTTCGAAATATTCGATTAAATTTTGCGATTGTTACACGCAGCGTGTGAATGCTATTTATGATTGTGTGCGTGTGTGATTAATGCTCAGGTTATTTTATTATTTGCCTCTCAACTGTATAATGAATTAATAAAAGTGATCAGTTCCAGTTTCATTATTTTGTGCAAAAATAACTCGCAATGTATCAAAGACAGCACGACGTACGTTAGCGAGTTTTATCATGTTTTCATGACACACACAAAGCTTATTTAGTTTTTGAAAGAATAACACATTCCCGATTGTATAATACATTCAATTGATAAAGGTACGATGATTCTTTTGCGTGAATTGACAGTTCTTGATAGCGTTGCCCGTGTATCGTTACTGGCGATCGATACTCCAGCTCCACGCACCAATTCCGCATACATGTTTGATGCATTGGAAATGCATAGGTTTGGATAAGTAGTCTATCAGCAGAATAACACCATTCCATCCGCGATTGCATTACAGATTTTAACAAGATTAATATTAATTAACATTATTAATATTAATTTATGTTACACTGTACTTTCTCTCGTGTGCTTTTTACAAAATTAATACTTGGCGTTTTATATTAATATAAAATACGATTTCTCTTCAAATATATACATATGTGTTTTGTCTGAAATACAAATATATTTGTTAATATAATCTTTTAATATTATAAAGATATGTATACATGTAAATTCGAAGAAACGTACAACACTTTTAATGAAACAACACTAAACATTATATCTTATTTTTTATATCCTAACAACAAATATTAAAGCTCATGATATTGTCTAAGTTCAGAATCAATACGCCTAAATGTACGTGCGTATATTTTTAAACGTGTTAAATGTAATTAAATGTAATTAATATACATAGAAATTTGAATTAAATTTAATTCAAAAAATTAAATTCAACTCACTTATGAAATCAAAAATTAAATTTACTTCTATTAAGATGCTTGATTTACACCTGATATGTATATAATAATCTATATATATATGTAAAATATCTTTTATACATATATATAAAATATACTATAATTTATTCCTTTATGAAATTTAAAAATTCCATTGCCATAAAGACATCTTCAGTGGTTGAAAATCCGGATTATATTCCGTTTTTATTTTATTACATGTGATAATATGTTTAGTGTAAAATCTTACATCAAGAATATATATATTATCAAGAACATATTATCGAAAACAAAAATGTACGTATATTATCAAGAAACAAACATACATATTATCGAGAAACGCACATAAAAAAGTCATGTTATCAATAATATTATATATTTGACTCTTGATAATCGCAATCCTCAGTTTTAAAAAAAAAGGTGTTCCTGCAACAAATAATAAGCTCTAATGTCTATGTGTAATGTTACAATATATTATATATATATTTTTTTCTATATTATTATATACGTATTATATATATATATAAAATACATATTTTAAAAAGAACACAAAACAATATATATTAACATATTATTAAAAGATCGATACAAATGTATTTTACGGATACTATCATAAGACTTACTCTTCTCTCTCTTTTCTCTTTCTCTCCTCTTCATGACTTTTCTTATGCTTTTCGAAACACTTTTTTATCTTATAATCTTTTCCGCACTCTTCGCACATGTATTGTTCCAAAGGTAAATGAGTTTTATGTCGATTTAAGAGAAACAGTGACTTAAAACGTTTATGACATATCTTAAAGAGAGCATACATATATAATACATATATTGTATAAAATAAAATATTATAAAATCAATAGGCATTATGTTTTACGATAAATGCCATGGAGAAACTTACTCGGCACGAATATTTCTTTTCGTGAGTTTTAATATGTTGCCGTAACTTAGTCTTCCTTGTAAAAGTTTCCTCGCAGTTACCACACTTGTACATGGTCGAAGAATCGTTTTGTAAATGAAGTTTCGTGTGTTGATTTAAACGAGATGCTGACTTATAAAATTTAACGCACATCTTAAAGAGAATGATATATTATTACACAATAAAACTGGCAAGAGAAGAAAACAAAAGGGAAGAAGAGAAAGAAAGAGACAGAACAGAAAGTATATTTTAGTATGTAAATATTTTCGAAATACTTACGTTACACACGTAATGTTCTTTTCCGTGTGCGTGAATAACACCGAAAGTACGTCCCAGAGTCTTCTTCAAATATTCTCCACAATTTTCGCAAACAATCGGTTTGCATATTATATAGAATTTCGTAAATCTCTTTTTGCACAATTGACACACACATTCAGCTTTTTTATAATCATCTAATATCATTCGAGAAGTGCTCGCCATTATTTTAAAATTTTATTGTACAAGAACCTTTTCAACAAAAAGGAACGTTCTCGCTTATATGTTCTTATACAACTATAACGTGTCATTATGTAGATAAATTATTTTATCAATAAACACGCCTAAGCACATCCAACTCAAGAGCATATCTGGCATTTGAAAAACAGTCGACAACAAGCGAATAATTGTTTGCACAAAATTTACTACGAAGTGATGTGTGTGATGTGTATCCGATAGAAGACGAAAGACGACTAACAGTTCGGCCGATGTTATTGCTAGAAGGATGGAAATATAGAATCCAAACAATGTCGTATACAAAGATATAATATCTATAAATGTGTTTATAACGAAATTTCTTGTGTGAAGAGAGAGCAGATATGTAAGAAATACTTGTATATTGATGTAACTTCGAAAACCGTTGTTGAAAACTGAGATCTTAGTTATAGACAAACACAAGAGTAAAAGAGAAAAAATAAGATGTTCGTCCGATACTCAGCAGGAAACTGAAAATTTTTGTTCGCACAGGCAAATCCGACTGGTCATAGGTAATTGTTTGCGACATGCCTTTGAAGAACTGACGAACAAACTAAGTTGTAGCATAAAACAAACTGCTGTGCGAGATCAATAGGCGAGAAACAATGGATTCGAGTGAAAAGCCAATAAATTTCTCTAGAAATCTTCCAGAAAACAATCGTACGGAGCGAAAAATGGAGCAACTAATTATTGTCTAAGAACTAGCACCACGTGTGCATTACGTGATATGGCCTTTATCCTATCAAATATTCACTAACACAATCAGATAACACACATTTCCAAAAAAGAATAAACTCTAGCAATATCAGAAACTATATATATGAAAAACAAAATGTGAGTTTGTATCTTGCTGTTTGAATTAAAATCTATAATATTTGTAACAAATAAATAAACGCAAAAGCAGCACTCGATTCAAGGAAGTGCAAATGAACATTGTTGTTAACGATGATCTTCTCCGTTCAGAATTGTTTCCAATCACGGAGCGATTTGCGCGAGAAGCTCTTTCCGCGCGCGCACGCGCACGATTCGCGGGAAATAAATCACTACTCTTCTCTCGTAATCTCGAAGTCGAGATATCCGGCAAAGCGGAAGAAACACGAGAAAGACGAATGCCGTGCTCTTTTTGAGCTCGTCGTTGCGTTTCTTTTTTTCTTTTGCATTTTGCGCGGTCGCGACGACGATCTCGCTGTCGTGCTTGATACTCAAAGAGAATTTTACTTTGAGTCAACTCAAAGATTTTCTGAAGCTTCTCCGCGATTTCTTCCGAATTACGCGCGCGCGCGCGCGTCATCAACTACTACTTTAAACTATTCAAGACGAATGTTTGTTTTTCAACAGCAGTGTGTCAAGTGACAACATTTTTTTATAAAAAAATTACTGCAATTATTGAAACGTAACTTTTGAAAGTCATAATTATGAAGTTAGAGCTGACACATCGATGAGATTTTATTATGATAATTTTCCTGCTTATTTGTAAATCTCTTATTAGTCATTAATCATTAGGTGGCAATGTAATAAACGAGAAATTAACATGCTTTCGATAAAGCGAATCGAATTGAGTTGGCATTGAGTTGAAAGCGTGAATCACACACGTGATTTACGAATGGCTGCTTCTTCTCAGATTGCAGGTTAATTTTGAATAATTACGGGGGTCATTAACAATCCATTTAACAGATAATTTCACATTACGAGATATATATATGCGATAGATGTCGTCAGGCGTGGACGCAATCGTGTCATAAGCTTAATTAGCTTCCTTGTGTTCTACTCGTATCCTTCGATCGCGCAGTTTTATTAATTAGTTTTCGCTCACTCTGTATGTTTGTGAATTTTAATGAAAAGAGCGTCATATAACATATCGGAATTGTTCGAGGCAAATATATTTTTTGCAGAAAAACAAATGCGTTTGCCAATAAAAAATAGCTTCTTACGTATTTAATGAATCTGTTCAATTTACAAAACGCGCAGAGTATCTGTAAGGTTTTGCGCAAACATGAATTAAATTTTTTATTAAAATATTTAATTAATGTAATACGTATTTTGATGTGTGTATGTGTGTGTATGTTGTCTGTGACGATATATGTATGTAAAAATTATGTTATACGTAATTAATTTCAGTTTTCTTTTCTCTCCAGCTCGTTTCTTCTGATTTCCATTGCGTTTCTCTTTTTTTTCATGTCAAATCATTGAGAGTTCAAACAAAATATGGAAAAATACAGATTAACGGGAGAATAGTGAAGATAGGATAAAAAAAAATGTGCTAAGATTGGAAAAAAGACAAACACAGAGGAAAAGAGATAAAAAGTAAAAGTAAGGGTGGAAAGAAGAAGGAAAGGGAGAGAGAGAGAGAGAGAGAGAGATGAAGAAGAGAGAAAGAGAAAAAAAGTGTCAAAAAAATAGAAAGAGTAGGAGAGAGAAAATTGTGAAAACGGAAGTCCTTTTTTGCTAGCTTACAGAAGTAGAAATAGATTGAATAGGGTGAAAAAATGCAAATATAAAATGCGGCATGCGACAGATAAAAGAGATAGGGTTAAAAGACGTGCGTGTGTATGTGTGTGTAGGGAATTTAAGAAACAAATAGAAAAATAGTTGGTTTAAAGTTTAAGATAAATGTAAGGTAGTTTATAAAGTAGTTGTGAGTCAGTTGTGTTTTTTTGTGTATGAAGAAAATCGTAGCCCTGAGAAAAGAACCAATAAATTTTCTATCTAATTAATTTCAAGTAATTATTAAATTACATAAAATATCTTAAATTTATATAACAGATAAAAATATTAATTAAATCAAGTACTCAGAGTGCTATTTAGAGATTCTACTGAAAACTTTCTTTGATTTGTTACATTTTAAATCTCTCATTTGTTGCAATATTAAAAAACAGGAAAGAATAGAATGACGAATATGTAGCCTATTCAACGATTCTCTCTTCTCATGCTCACCTGGGGCTCTGCTTACTTTCGCTACCCACGTTCCTGACCCGTAATTATTTCTTTGGCAAATATTCTCCCTATCGGCTGACTTGGCCGCTTGTTTCGCTTTTATTAAACCTCATGCCTCGTCCGCGACTCTCCTCTTGCGTCCTACCCTTCTTTCATTTCTAGCACGGAGTTTTAATAAAACGCGATATTAAAGGTATTAAGTGCGCAGTCATCCTCTGGGCGAAAGCCAGAGGTCCGCAAAAAGGCCCACGTAAATTTCTTCGTTTCTTCCCGAGCCCTTTGAATCCTCGGTTACGATTATTGCGTTATTGTCGCCGACGCTATTGCAGAGAAAAAAAATTGAGAAATTTCTCGTCATTTAATCTGATCCATTGCTTATGCGCTTGAACAAAATTCTCTATTTGCAACGAGTGAGTGTCGCAAAATGCGTGCAAAAATAAAATCCAAACATTGCTGATTTATTAAACGTCGCGTTCGCTTAAGTTGACGGTGATGCGCCTGCTCGCGCATTCGAAAAGTAAACCGCCGCATATAAATACGCGTCCCGAAGCGTTTCGTAACACGCGGAAAAGCCATCTTGCAAATCCCGTCGAAAAATAATGCAAACACGCCGTCAATGTCGTCGTCGCGAAAACATACACACACACCACGAGAGACTCATGAATTTTTCAACCGCGCATTAACGATGCTCTGTGGTCCGCGTCATGCCGTCTTTGATGCGCCTAAAACAAAGAACTCGAGGACACGCCAGGCCGAAGGTAAAAGGGGTTTGTCCGCCCCCTTTTTCCGTATCACTACTCCGCGTACATATAAGAAACGACCGCAGAACCGGCGGCGAATAGCGGCTCGGTGCGGAGGTGAAAAAAGTCCGCCGCCTTCTCTGCTTCTTCTTCTTTGACCCCATGCGCCATCATTTCTGGAAGTAGCAACGCGCCGCAAGGGAAACTTCCTGACGATAAAACGAGGCCTCTTTTTACTCCGTTCGCTCATCTCCCCTTTCTCTCTCTCTCTCTTTCTCTCTCACTCACTTACTCGACTCTCTCGTATCCCCGGGTCTATAAATCCCTCGGCATCTCACCGCGCGTCTCGAGAGCGCGGCGTCATTAATAACGACGTTGAGTTACTTGCCGTCGAAGACGGTGGTTTGTCCGCGTGGATGGGGCGATATGCCGAAGAGACGCGACGCAAGGAACAGGTGCCGGTGTTCAGTTCGCTGATCACACGGAGCTTCAACGTGCTCCGAGCACGAGCGTGTAGTCGATGTCGAGAAGAACGACGTCGGACAAGTACAGATGGGTGACGAATGCGTCGTCGTCAGGACGAAGAATGGTGGACGTGAAACTTCAGTTAATCGAGTAGTTCGTACGAATTTTTATTGTCAGTATAGATCACCTGTTTCTGTAAATAATTAATCAAGTGTGGTTTTATTTAGAGAGTGAAGAATGTCAACCCTCCTCTTTTCTTAAACGAATTTTTAATTCCACGGCGGAGTTACACTTTTATTAGAAATTTCACTTTTATGTGTGTTTTAATAACATAAAAGTGTAATAAAATTGTAATTGTTTAAATTGTATAGTAGTTAAAAATTAGTTTCCGTTTTTAATTTATTTCATTAATTGGTTTTCCCCATCATTTCATTACTTCAACATTTTTTATTTAACAAAAAAAGATTTACCAGCTATTTATTAAATTGCCAGATAAACTGTTTTGTTTCTTTTTTTATCTAAGTTTCTTTGATCATTCACTTGGCGGTCGATGCCGGAGAAAAATTCTCAACGGGGCGATGAGACTGATTTTCGACTCTATTCTCACGACAATTATGACACATTATCGCGCGAAACTTTGTCGCTCGTTATGAGCTGTACCGCGGCTGTAAAACTTCGTTAATTACTCGGAGCTTTTTACGAGGATCTGAAAACGAAACAGCGTCGAGGATACATCGAGGCGTTATAAAACAAAAAAAGCGCGACGATTTACGGCCGCCTCTGTACATTAAACGTGTTATTCGCCATCTTGATGTACTCTTTCGAGTTCCGTGCAAGATAATATACCATTCTTTTATCATTTTTTTTATTTTTTACGCGCGATACATTCTCTCGCAAACTCCCTTGACTTCGCAAATTCAAAATTTTGCGGGCGCAATCTTTCGCGCGATCGCCATTCCGATTTACTCGCTTCAGATTTTTATTTGAAACGCATATAAATTATATTATGCAAAATATTCCAGTTCGTTACGGTGCTGATGCACTTCTTCTATTTGAATTTCT